TGTTTATAATAAGGTAATTTTTCTGGGGTGCCTCGGTGGCTCAGTCAGTTAAGCGTCTGCCTTCAGCTCGGATCATGATCTCTGGGTTCCGGAATCAAGCCTCGAGTTGGGCTCCCTGATCAGTGCGGAGCCTGCTTCACCCCCTCCCTCTGTCCCTCCCCCTGCTTGTGCTTTCTCCCTCCCACTCTCTCTCGCTCAAATAAATAACATCTTTTATAAAAATAATGCAATATTTCTGAAGCAGTGGATAATGTGCTTTTCACAGTATAACTGTCTTTTATAACTCACATTAACAAAGCTTCCTAGGCTCCATGATAAAGGTTCGTACTATGATATAGCTAGATGGTACAGTTTTTTTTTAGTATACGTACCTTCATACTACCTCATCCATGGCAGCCAGATAAGAAATAGTGCTGTTAATGATAAATTTCTGGTGTAAGCACAATGAAAGAAATTGTAAGCCTTTGGACTTCACAATACTGATGCTGGTATAACTAAGAAAATGCGTATCACGCTGCGTGGTTCTAAACAACACAAACACTGAAATAGTCAAGAGCCATCTCCTTCTACCTCTATAAAAGGACATCAGTAGTAGCTGACATATCTCAGTGACTACTGTCCTGAAGCCATCTACTATGCTGAACATAGCAAAAGGCAACACCAATCAATGACTATCAAAAACCCACCTCTCTAATGAGTGCTACGAAATACACAAGGAAAGTAGGATTCCTGCTATTCTTGTTATTTGGTCCTCTAAATATTTGTTGAATGAATGTAATCTAATAACAACAAAAAAAAGTTTAAAATCCCTTTAATTCCTCTCTGCATGAAGAAAAACACCACCTTCTTTTTAAAAGGCTGTTTTCCCCCCGAAGACAGTATTTAGATTTTGTTCTCATTTGACAGCATACAGCTGAATTTTGACCAGAATTTTGGTCAGGTTTTAAAAATAGAAGCTCCTAGAGATAAACTCTGTTTTCTACTAGAGAATATTATTATTTATTGTATCTTCCCAAAGAATTTTAAGAATCACCTTAATATTCTTTTTAGGTTTAGATGCTAAAGTAGGAATTGGAATATTTAAAATGAACTAGAATTTACATGCATTTAAATGGATACATTTAAAACTGTGGTGTCCCAGTTGGCTGTTCTACATGCTATAAGGGGAGGAGTGTTGGATCCAGGAGAATCCCGGCTGCTTGTGCTGCTAATTGCCTGTATGACGTTGAGCCTATCATTTCACCTCTGAAGTCTCTTAACTGTTAACTGAGGAAGTTGGACTAAATGGTCTTCTAAGTGGCTTTCCATCTCTGACCATGTTTGAAGCTACGATTGAAATGTACGATGAATTTCTTCACGGGATTAAAAGTAGATAGTATGTAGTCTGAATATCTACCTCAAGGCTGAGTCTAAGATATACCAAACCATCTTTGAATTATAAACCTTGTTTGTCAATGATCTATTCATAATAACCATTTTATAAAATCACTTCCCTTGCATGACCCATCTTTGTCCTTTTTCCATATTATGGGTTTTTTGTTTTGTTTTGTTTTGTTTTGCTTAAAATTGTGTAGGATTAGAATCCCACCTCTACCACTAATTTACTAGCTGTATGATTTGAGGTAATTTCCTGAGGAGTTCTGAGCTCATTGACCTCATCTGCACAATACAACTTACTGCATTATTTACTTTAAAAGAGCTGTTAAGAGACTTATAAGTAATGGCACATGAAAAGTGCCAAGCTCAGAAAATGGCATGTGGTGGTTCTCTGTACATTTTTCTTTACTATCTAGGCCTGAGCCCCTTCATCCATACAGGTCTGTCTACCCTGAACCCTGAGATGCTTGTCTCCATTGATTAACAGCAATGGATCACCACAAATATAAAACAGTGACAAAGCTAATTATACTCTAGATAATACACTTATTCTGTTAGATGGTATTAATTCACCAACTATTTGCCGAGTGCCAGTTTATATATATATATAATATATATGTTATATACATAAGTTTGTAAATATTTTTATATATTTTTATATATTATGTATATAGTATACATATATATATGCATACATCACACAGTTGACCCTTGAACAGCATGACTTTGAACACAGATCCACTTACCTTGGATTTTTTAAATAAATACAGTACAGTACTGTAAATGTATTTTCTCTTTCTCTTCCTTATGATTTTCTTTTTTTTTAAAGATTTTATTTATTTATTTGACAGAGAGAGAATGAGAGAGAGAGAACACATGAGAGGGGATAGGGTCAGAGGACGAAGCAGACTCCCCGCCGAGCAGGGAGTCCGACGCGGGACTCGATCCGAGGACTCCGGGATCATGACCTGAGCCGAAGGCAGTCGCTTAACCAACTGAGCCACCCAGGCGCCCCCCCTTATGATTTTCTTAATAACATTTTCTTTCCTCCAGCTTACCTTAGTGTAAGAATACAGTATATGAATTATATAACATACAAAATATGTGTCAATTGACTGTTTATATTATCAGGCTTACGGTCAACAGTAGGCTATTAGTATTTAAGTTTTGGGGGAGTCAGTAGTTAATACGCAGATTTTTGACTGAATGAGAGGTCAGGGCCCCAAGCCCCCATGTTGTTTAAGGTCAACTGTTGTTCAGAGGTCAAAGTACTCTATTTTTACAAGCATGTCTTCAAATCTCTGTGTGTGTCTGATAAAGAGATGCAGATACTTTATCCCTAACCCATAGTGTGTACCAAATGCCGACACTCTTCTGAAGAACTTCGCATATTTTAACTTATTTAATCCTCACAACAACATTATGAGGTTGATATTACCATTTTCATTCGAGACTATCTCAAATGAGGCAATTGAGGCACAGAGAAGTAGAGTAACTTACTCAAGGTCGAGTATGGAGCCCACGTTTGAATGCAGAGAGTGGCTTCAGAGTTCAAGCGCTTTGTCACTCAGCTGCATATGCAAATAGCCATTTAAAAATCATTTTAAAGATTCAGTAGCACCAACGAGTTTCCTTCAGCAAGTCTTTTAAACAACATTTCTAGGAGAGGAAGGATAGGCAACTGCTGTCAACCCCACTACATTGTTTAAATCTTACTGAGATTTGATGCGTGAGGCTTTGATACACACTTCCTGCAACCCATGAGGCAGGGCCGGGCAGTGGGGGAACAGGCAGGCGGGGTTAGAGCCTAGAGGACTGGACACACATCATTTTCTGTCTTCACACTCTAGCCAGGGCCAAGGAAGTCTTTTTTTTTTTTTTAACTTAAATACTTTTATGCCCCAATAAATACAGAGTATACTCTAAAAAACAGCCTCTGCTAGTAAAAGTGGCTTTTGGTTCAGCAGGAACAACCAAAAACAACAACAACAACAACAACAACAAAAACAGAAAAGAAACGCAGAGTGGGTGTCAGAAGAAGCTGAGGGGAAGCATGAAGAGAGGGTAGTAGGCATGGGAGCTTTTCTTTTGACTGTCCTTTTAAAATGTGTGAGTGGAAGTTGGGGGTGGATTTCATGAGTAAATATGGAATTTTGCCACCAAATTCTTTCCTCCAGAGCTAATATTCTCATGGGATATTAATATTAATACAAGGAAAAAGACGCTGGGTGAAGAAAACTATTTTTCCCTTCAGGGCAGAGTTGTCTCAGGAAGACAGTGAAGTTTAAGAGTTTCAGAAAGTGCTAGTAGAATACTAGGCATTTTATCATTAACAAACAGGAAACCGGGCTACAACTCATAGGATTCTCTTTGGAAAGTGAAGAGAAGAAGCCTGGTAATATCAGCCTCATCAAGGACCCTTTTCTCTACATAAAACCGGGCTTTTCATGGTGTTTGGGACTTTTGACCTTAGTCATTATTCTGGAGTAATTAATGTCATCAAAATAGAAATCTGTGGTATATATGGGTAATGTGAATGCATCATGCTTTAGAGACATAGATAACAGAGTGGGTGTGTGTGGAGGGATGCATTTACATTTTACAATTTCATCATTTCATCATTTTGAATTAATCTTTTTATGATTTCCCTGAATCATTCTTTTGAAGCATTCTAAAGAGCCAGAAAAAAAAAAAAATGAAAGCTTTTCTCAAGCAACTGACTTAATGGATAACTAAATGTCCAGTTTCAAAGGTGTTACTTATAAAAGGCCAAAAAAATGTTAATATGGGGCCATATAACTGTAACATAATTTTTCCAAGGTGGGAAAAGCAATAAATTACAAAATACTATACTAAGGGAATATATGGTCTTTAGTAAGAGCAGCTGTTATTTCACTAAGGTGTACAATATTTTAAGTCTTGGTTTTCTGTTTTGGAAGGGTGTTAATTAGTTCACTTGTTTTATTTAATTTATTTCCATTCTCCATGCGTTTGTGATTCTTAATTTGTAATGTGTTTTCTATAAACTGCTCTTACATGATGGGAATGCCACAGTGTGCCGTAGGTTTTTTTATGTTTAAAAAACAAAAAATAATAAACATTAAAACGTGAAATCATGAGAGATGCTCACAAACAGTTATTATGTCCTTGACAGGATTCTTCAACCATGTGTGTATGTAATGGTTTGCACGTGGGCAGTTATCTGATCACTTACTATGGGATGCTTTGTTGAACTGGACTTAAATTTCAGTTACACTGGATGCAAATGAGCAATATGAAACATATAAACAGTCTCCCAAATGCAGAATCTCCTTTGGGAAATTTTAAACCAGGACATAAAATCAATTTTAAAATAAGCTTACTTTTTTACTAAGAGTTGCCATATATTGGGAAATAAACACCAGAAAGCTGGTACCCTCAGGTATATTTTAGGACAAACCTGTAACTCTCCTGGTAATAAGTAAATCTTCAGATGCTGTGAGTATTTGGGACTTGAGGAGTTGCTGTTAATTGCATTTTGGAGTTAAATTAGGTTGAATGAGTAATGCTTTCTGGCCTCAACTCTTCCAGTTGGAAATCTAAAATGTATGAGTAGATTTTTTTTTAACCAGCAAGACAATGAATGAATTTTGTCAGTTTATTTTTTATGATTTAGGTCTAGCATGCCTCAGGGACATAATTCTCGATATCAATCATTATTGTACAATATGATAAATTGGTAGAAGATGAAGGAGATGAGACCATCTGTATTATTGAACAGAATAATAGGTAGTCAGTCACCACAGGACTCTATTCCACACCAGCCCTGTGCAAAGTGCTGGAGGGGGTATAAAAATATAATTCTTTGTTGTAGGAAGTCGTGTTGTGCATTTTAGGATGCTTAGCAGCCTCCCTGGCCTCTTTTTAGAGGGGCAGGAATAAAAGCCACATCTCCTGAGAGGGTAATAGGAAATCAGAAAATAGAAACAAAGATCAAGGGAAATTTTATGGAAGAAGTGGGTTATGAGCAGAATCTTGACGGATGTTTAGTGTTGGCAAGTCAGGCTTGATGACTAAGAGGTTACTGTCTTTTGCCTGAAGGGAGGTCATTGGTAACCTTGATGAGAAAAACTTTAGTGAGCTACATATAACCATTGGATGAATCACGAAGATGTTTTAAAGACAAAATTCTTCTTGTGACTCAAGCCTAAGGCATAACCTTAATGTCCACCGTGTAGATAAGAGTGGAATTTAGGGACTGTATGTACTTCTCCCCAATACGATTCACACGTGACCTGTACCATTCAGTGAATTATTTCTCTTTCACTTTTTTTCTGATTCTTCTTTCTTCTCCTCTTCCTGCTCCTGTTCAGTCTTCTATCTCCTGCTTGCCTTCTGGTTTTTTTCATTCTTCTTCCTCTTCCTTTTTCCCACTTAGGTTCGGCTAACGGAACCTGTGAGAAGAGAAGCCACAGTCATGACCACTGTATTAGTGTCCTGAGGCTGCTGAAACAAATCACCACAACCTGGTGGCTTAAAACAGTAGAGATGTGTTTTCTCACAGTTCTGGAGGCCAAAAGTCCAAAATCATTTTCACTGGACAGAAATCAAGGTATTGGCAGAGCTGCACTTACTTCAGTGGCTCTAGGGGAGAGTCCCTTCCTTGCCCCTTCCAACTTCTGGTGTCTGTGTTCCTCCAGGCTCTGCCTCCCTGGTCACATGGCCTCTTCTCTGTGTGTCAGATCTTCCCCTGCCTCCTTCTCACAAGGATACTCCTGATTCCCTTTAAGGCCCAGCCAGATAATCCAAGATAATCTCCCCATCTCAAGAGTCTTAATTTAGTCACATCTGCAAAAAGCTTTTTTTCCAAATAAGGTAACAATTACAGGTCCTGGGAATTAGGACCTGATATATTTATGCACTATTATTCAGCCCACTACAATCACAATGATACAGAGTCCTCCTTTTATATGGCGGATAGTACTGAGTCCATCCGAAACTCATCTGAACCTCTCTGGTGATCTCACCCGCAAGCATTAGAAAGGAGTCCTACCTCTTCATGTATCTTCTGTTCATTGGAACAGTGTTTTGTGTTTGAGCAGTATCTCCCTGCCAAGGACTGGGGAAGAAGAGACCTCATTGTATCTTTCTAGTTCCCTGAGTACCAACCATCAGGTCCCAAATAACTAAAGTCAGAACCTAGTGTGCTCCTGATAGAGAGCTTCCTACTTTCTTCCTCAGAGTTTGAAGGCTATTCTTAAGGAAAGGCCTAAAAGAAAGGCCATCTCTTGGGCTTACTTAGTTCTGATTAGAGTTGCCAACATGTCCTCTTCAACCCAAGCTAGAGGATATCTAGAGAAAGTCACAGGATTGAAAAGGAGTCCTCCTAGCTCAAGATCCTGCTAAATTCACCTGAGACCCTGAGATTGTGAGGAAGGAGATAGTTTGAGCACTTCACGTCTAGCTTTCTTTAAATAATCTCACTGCCCACAAAGTAAGTAAGGTTGAGGAGGGTGAAGATACAAAGTAGCATGAAAATTCATGCCCATTTTCTTTCCTACCCAGTGTCCATAATACGTAGACCATCTTCTCTTGCTGGATCCCATGGGGGAAGGAATCCCAATAAATTTGCAAGCATTAATTTTTATAGGACCTGCAGGCTCTAAAGCCCTTGTGTATCTTTGCTTATCCACCCTCCAAATTCTTATTCAATGTATTTTAGAATAATGATGCCTATAAGAAGTAAATATTACTCTTTTAAAAGAATATTTTAATGTAATTCTAAGACACACTGAAGTGTTACAGTCCCATATAGCCAATAACCATTTGACTTTTTCCAATATTAGCTTACTTGACATTGAATAGTGTACAGTTTCTATACACCTATTTGATTTTCCAGCAATATTTGGTTAGTGACTGTTTATGCCCCCTGGGAAAATATCTCAGGATCTCTGTTGACCAGGGATGGTTTTTCTCAGCTCAGTATTTCTGAACTTTGGCACTACTGACATTTGGACTAGATATTTCTTTGTTGTAGGTGCTGTCTTATGTATTTTAGAATGTTTAATAGCGTCCCTGGCCTCTACCCTCTAATGTCATCCCCTCACTGAGTTGTATCAATAAAAAAAGTCTCCAGACATTGCTAAATGTCCCCTGGGGGGCTAAAGCACCCCTGGCTGAGAATTACTATTCTAGCTCCATTATTTGCATGGTTAATAATAATAGCTAGCATTTATAAAGCACTACTAAGTGCCAGTCACTGTACTAATCACTTTACTTGTATTAATGAATTTAAATCTTATGAAATCTCACCAGGTAAGTGCTATTATTATTATTATTCCTATTTTACAGATAAGGAAACTGAGGCCCAGAAGTATTGAGCAAATATAGTAAGATATACAACTTTTTAAGAGTAGAGCCAGGATTTAAACCAGCAGTTAGGATTTAGAATTTATACTCTTTGCCATGGTAGTGTAGCTGCTGTCCAATGATCATTTAAGAATATGTTGCCATAGACTTGAAAAACATCTTCTTTTGCAACTATTTAAAGGTTATAAATAAACTATGACAATGGATGAAAAGAGGACCATCCCTTCCTTTCAAGGGAGGATGAGAGAATGGTTCTTGGGAAGGACCATTTATTGAGGTCCTACTAGGAGTGGGGACTCACGTTGAGACTTTTATCTAAGTTATCTTCATTGCATCCTCACAGTAGGCCAATGGAATTGATATTGTTATATTTATTGTTATATGGAAGAACCTGGCTCCAAACAACTAACTTTACCCAAGGTAAGAGCCAGTATAATAATTGGCAGAAACAGAATTTGACCTGGTGCTTTCTGACTTCTAAGTCCATGTTTTCTGTTTTACTCTTACACTTTCCTTGGGTTTAAAGAGATGGAAGGAGGGACATTTTTAGATTCTCCATATGTGTCTTCTGGTCTGAACATCCTTTCATGTACAAACTCCAAATTACTTGGAGCTGATACTTGGAGATTTTGAGCTCTCACTTACCCTTCCCCAAAGTCTAGTAAAATGTGCAGGCACAGGTAGGTGGGCGTGAGCATCCATAGAGCTGGTTTGAATCCTAGCTGGGCTACTTCACTGCTATCTAAACCTGGGCAAATCACAAAACAACTAGGAGCTCCAGCTTCCTTATTGGTAAACATGGGGTTAATAAGAATAATACCCACTCTTCAGGGTAAATATTAGAAATAGTGTATGGAAATACAATGATTAGTTGGTACAACTTTGTTCATTAAGATTGCAAGCTATGCATTTTGCCACTTTTCTTTTTGCTATCTTCCTTTCAAAGCACTGGCAATGTTTCCACACCAATTTCCCCTACCCCCTTTACGGGTATCTGGAAACATGCCATTTAGAAATTCATTAAGATTCATTTTTGATTAACATGAAGATATCTGGGGAGTAGACAGAAGTCTGTGTTAGCTAAACACACTTCTGAAGACTGGTTTGAGCACCTGGAGAGGGGAGGTGAAGATGAAGACAAGGAGACAATGATTTCACAAGATTTTTTCAGATAGACCATGTGAAAAGATTATTGTGAAAGATAGCGTACCCTGATTAGTATGCACAGAGAACAATAATGAATGTTAAGAGCGTAATGAAAAAATTTATTTTATCTAAAGCCCTGCCTTGTGAGTTACATAGGTGGGACTTAACCTAAAACTTAAGTTTTTAACTGGATATATGAGTGCACACACATATGTGTAATTAGTGTGCACGGTGTGAAGAAATTATGAGAAATACTGAGTAATGAAATTCTCTAGGACAATATTGTGAACATTACAACTCAGATATGGGGGGCAATATTAAAGCTCTTGGTCCTTCCAAGTTAAGCAAAACAAAAAGTCCCTACAGTTCATAGGAATATGTATCACGTGTACTCAGCTCAATGAATTGAAACCTTGCAAGGTGACCAGTTACTCAAGGGAGATGTCTTTAAAAAAAAAAGTTGGTTGAAAAGAAGGTGTTCATATCTAGTTGCCTTACTAAGAATGTGAGTCACAGTTTAAAGAGATTCCAAAGGTAATGTGATAATATGGAATGTCTACTCAAGGGCAACCAGTGGAAATGTTCTGAATCAAAAATAACTCAACATTTGAGAATTCTGAGAGGACATTCAGTACATCTCCATCCCAGAGAAATTGGGAAGAAGCGGTACATTAGTCCATTTCAAGACCTCAAAAGATTAAACTTAGATTAAACTTATTGTTGAAAATGTTAAATCCCATTACTAACTGAATTTCACTGGAATAAAAGACTGTAGGGAAAGCTGACATTTATCTATTTGGCAGAAAGAAGTTAAATTCAATTGAACATTATTTTAAAAAGATGTTTTTCCAGTCTCTGTGTAGACCAGGGCTGTAAAATTCAAGTTACATGTAGGTAATCATGCTATCACATTCTGGTTATCAAAGCTGGCATGGTGAAATTCAAAAATGGTATATTGGATATTTGCTATTTCAGCAAATATCATTAAAATAGCAAAGTCTATGCATAGCTGAATGATTTGTTTTTTCTTTTAGAGAGAGAGAGTGGGGGTTGGGGAGCAGAGAGAGAGGGAGAGAGAGAGAATCTTAAGCAGGCTCCATGGTCAGTTTGGAGCCCAATGTGTCGCTCAATCTCACGACCCTGAAATCATGACTTGAGCTGAAATCAAGAGTCAGATGCTTAACCAACTGAGCCACCCAGGTGCCCTGAGCTGAATGATTCTTAAGCTTCTCTTTTGCTTTCACTAAGTAAGAAGTATAATATTTCACCCCAAGAAAGTAACTTGTCTTATTATGGCAGAATTTGACCTGAACATTCATTTGTTCAATCAATAAATGAAGATGAAATGACAAACAAATTATTCCAGTTATTGTTCCTTGAAAATCACATATGTTTATTCTGTAAGATGGTATGGGAAGCTAGGAATAAAAGAATTTTTCTTTCTTTTTTTTTCCAGAAAACAACCATAGCTTCACCTGTGTCAGAAGAAACTTTATAAAGAAAACTTCATAAAGAAGAAAAAAGGGGGGAAATCAGATTAAGAAAGGAAATATTGTTAACCTGGGTAGGAAGATGTCAAATAGAAAGGCAATAATGAGCTCATAATTTTTGGAGGTGCTTGATTTGGAAGACAAGGTAGGGGTTCAAATATAGAACCTGAGTTTTCTTTCTGGCAGTGATACCCTAGTCATGCAGGCCATCCTTCTAAAACAGAGCCACATTATGGTTTGTCATCTGTGGATGAAGAGAGTAGATAACCTCCCTTAGCCTTTTAGAAGAGCCAAGACAAGCCATGCAAGGGAGAGACAAGTCTCCAGGAAAAGGAGTTAGAAGAAGCTACTTCCCACTGACTGTCACTTTGGGTCACTGGAAATACACATGCCCAGGACATGCGTAGATGCTTTGGGGGAAGTTGGAGACATTAACCCTGCATGTTGCTGAGTGGAGAACATTTCAAAGGCAAGGAGCAGTGAGAGAACCAGAAGCCAATCAGAATGAAGAGGATGTTGGAATTGGAACAGAGAGGGGGGATGCCTATAAAGACTAAAGGTTTGGGACTGTCTCTATTCTAGCCGACTTCTGCCAATCTGGGCAGGTATTTACAACTCCAAGAGGACAAGAAGGGTCAGGTGAGTCCCGAATCAATTAGACTATGTTTACTTGCATACATTTGTCCCTTTGCAGTTGTTTTGTGAGACGGATTAAATTCTAATCACAAGGACCAGCATTCCCAATGTATTTTACTTGTTTATTTTGCACCTGCTTAAGGATTCTGTCATTGACATGTGAGCTCACAAATGCACATTTAAGAAATGAGTAGAATATGTGGCTGTCACTGCTTCCTCTCGTTCTCTCTGCATGGAGAGAGGCTGGGATGACACTCAGGTCTCCATTTGTAAAACGGGGCCCATGCTCTCTGTGGCCTCTTTGGCAAGTACACCATGATACTAAATGAGACACTGCTTTTGGAGGTCTCCTTTAGAAGAAAGGCACATTATGGTTCTAAGGTGGCAAGCTTTGAATATATTGCTGCAGAATTTTTCCTTAGAAACTTTTTTTTGGTATCAGAAAATAGAAGTATTAATCTGGAGAAGAAACTCCAATTTCTGAAAGACGTATGTCTTAGTTGTGAGCATTTTTTAATGCCTGGAGATGCTCCTGGAGTGATTGCTTTGGTTAAGTAATGAGGCAAACTAACCACAGCAGTAGAATAAAGTACAGAATGGTAGGCAATGATCAGCTCTTGCTCTCTCTTTCCTTGCCTCCTGTGCAGAGATTTCAAACCCATTTTACACATTATCATTTTTTTAAAGTCTGGGAGTGTGGGTGGGAGGTAACATCACATAACCATTTTTTTGGCTGGTCCTAATTAATCTAGTGATTAATCTGTGAGTTTCAGTTTGAGGTAGATGACCATCAATGCTAATCTGTCCAATAAAAATACAGTATAATATATTTGTTTTTCACACTGAGGACTGAGACCTTAAAATTCAATGCTTTACTCTTGGTTGTTTAAAATAAAGATCAAAGGGTATTGATGGATGGTTTCAAAATAGAATGACATTGCCTGAGCTCACAAATCAAAGGTGTTTGTATTACCCTCCACCTCACAATGAAATTCCTTCCTAATTTATTGATACGTATTTAAAAAGGAATGTAGCTCACTTAAAATTATTTTAGAAGAGGAGATTATTGGGTCCTCAACAATTATCAGGTGGTGTGGGACTAGGTAAGGGAGAATAGTTATTCTCAGGATTGTCGTTTTGTTCCTTGATCTTAGATGATCACGAAGAGAAAAGTTCAAAAGACTGTTACAGTAATATCCTACTGACTTCAGGGTACAAGCCTAATGTGTGCCTTGTATTCACTATGGGAACTTGACACTTCCCAGATGTTACTTCCTGAAAACTCTGGCAGAGGTGACCTATTAACTTTATCACCCAGAGAGGGGAGACTGTGGAATAGGATATGGGTGAAACCTTTTGATTAGATGTAGGTCATTGTTAAGATTCTAACTTTCATTTGGGGTGGGGGGAATTCACAGGTGTTCAATAAATTATTGGTAACCTGTTGTTATTACAACAAAACTCCCCTTATCTGCTTTGCTGTCAACCATCAATGAAGAGCAAAGGGGCTTCACTAAAACATACTTTTAAATGTCATCTACATGGACTTTGTCTTTTTTTAAAGTTCTTCATTGCACCTTGGCATTGTGTGTTAATCTATAACTGCCTTGACTCATTTTAGAAGCAGCCAGTCCTGCTTCTAAATCCTAAATAGTAAAAGTTTTTAATTTAGTAAATATATGTGTGTATGTATCTTTATGTATATATATACATGTATATATCTCTATATATGTGTTCATATATACATATGAACAAATACATTTATAGGTGGCTTTCTACTATTGATGATGTTAGTTTTTCTTACATGCACACACACACATATCTTCACACACATACTATTGCATATTTGTATAAAGCTTTTTATTTTCCAAAATACTTCTTATAGATGATCCTATTCTGAACTTCATAATCACCCTGCAAAGAGGTTAAATGACCTGCCCGAATTCACACTTCCTAAGTGGGAAACCAAGCCTAGCAATGAAGTTTCCTGATTCCTAGCCAAGAGTTCTTTCCACTACAACAGTTGTCACTGGTTACTTGAGGTGAGGGGAAGAAACTGATTTGGCTTTTTTGAAGTTGAGAATTATTGAAAGTGACTGAAATATCAGTAGTGCAATTGCTTTCCAAACCAGTTGATCCAAGACAATCCTATGTGTGATTGGGTTAGGTTGTGTAGGTGGCCATATATGATAACTGTGATATGTTCTGTCTATATTATGCTACATTTCACCATCACCTGATGCTCTAATTCTTTTCTTACCTATCTTTTTTATTGACTTTATTTTTGATAACTAAGCCATCACATAGCTGTTCATTACACTAGTAATAAAAATACTGATGCAAATACCCTATGCTGAAGGTATGCAAAACTAGTATCTTGAATCACAAGAGTGGCAAAACAATATAATAGAATTCTATTTCCAATACTGACTGCCCATTAGTAAAAAAAAAAGTCTTAATGGAAATTGGTGGTTATGGTATACAAAATGACACTATTATTTCAAGGTTAAAACTTAGCGAACCATTTTTTTTTAGACATTCTCTTTTGAGACCCCCCAGTTTTTAATCTAATTTGTGGTTAAGTCTAATTGAAAGGTCTTTAGTTTATTCAAATACTGCTCACTGGCAGAAGATGGTAAAAGAAACAGAAAAATGTTACTTCATTGCAAACAACAGCATAATCATAATCAAAACCGACTAAGTTGACAATTAAGCATTCTCCATTAGAACTCAAAATACTGTTATTAAATAAGGAGCAATAGAAAGCCCTTGGTAATAACCTTGTTGTGGTAATGAATATTCAGAGTTCAGCCTGACACATCAGACCTTTGTCTTTAAAAATCTGTTTGTCCCATAAAGTCCTAGAGGCAATTTTCACAACTGAAATCATTTTTTTTCTTGAAAAATAAGTAAAACCCTGCAATACACAGGGTAGAGATTGAGATACTATAATAACAATGATAAAAAAAAAAACACCCCAAATGTAGTGGCTTACATAGATAGAAATGTATTTCTCACATTACAGTCCCGTTGGTCCAGGTGGTGAAGTAGATTGACTCCTCTAGGTCATTAAAGGACGCAAGTTCCTTCCTTTCTGCTGCATTACCATTCCCTGATGTCATACCATTCCTCTTCAGTGTTGCCAAACCTGGGTCTCTACCACATCTATGCTATGGCCCACAGAAGAAGGGACAGGGGAGAGTAGAGGACAAGTGTTTAAGGAGATGACCCAGAAATGAAAGATATCGATTTCACTCTTCTTCCATTGCCCGGAAGTTTAGCACATGAACTTATCTAGCTTCTAGAGATGCTGGGAAATGTAGTCCATAGCTGGGAGGCCATGTTTCTAAAAATGGGATGGAGGAAGAAGGTCAGAGGTTGGAGAGGTGAGTTCATCTATTAGAAGAAAGTGGAGAAGTTGTATTGGGGATCATCTAGCATTATCTGTCACAGCTACAATATACAAAGTGAAATGCATTTATCCAAGCAGGAACAGAATCCAAACAAATCATCAAAGGCATTCAAACTAATAAAAACTGAAGTAATGCTGGTCAAACTTGGGTTATTTAAAAATAATAGTTTTCTCAGTATCAGTTCTATGGAGCAAAATTTATGCAGGTCATCTACACTCTGCATGAAGATTTAGCTGTTTTTCTTTTAATGAGAAGATATGAAGATGGTTTCTAATTTTTATGTAACAAATAGAAAGGCATGACATTTTTTGACACTGAAAAATAAACTTTTCTAAGCAAGTTAACTTTTCGAACAATGGTATCTTACAATTTTAAATTCTAATGTGGAACAGACTCAATGTTCTCTTTTGTGAGTATGTGTCTGATCATGTATGTAATATTTAGTAAACTGAGGTCATTTTCTACCTCCTTAAACAAGATGTACTGACCACAGTTGAGCTAATTTATATTTTTATTCAATGCACATTTATTCAGCACTAATTATGTGCCAGTGACTACTAGCTCAGACTCTGCATAGGGTTTCCAATTCAATCTTCCCAACTAGCCAGTAAGATAGGATAAATTTTCCCTATTTCACATGTGAGGAAACCAAGTGTCAAGGAGGTTAGGTAACATGCTCAAGGTCACACAACAAAGCCTAGTTTTCAACCCTAGTCTCTGCTATTTATTGTTTCTTAATTCGACAAATATTTATCAAGCAACTTCTCTGTCTAGGCAGTAAGCTAGATGTTTTCATATGTTTTACTCCTGTTTAACCTCTTAACAATCCCATGAAGTAGATAGTATTTTTCAATTTTGTAGATGACACAGCTGTGGTTCAGGAAAGTGAATTACCTTACCTGAATTGCAGAACAATGAGCACACCAGACAGGACTGAAATCTGCAGTAGTGGCCTTTCTACTCAGAATTTGCCTTTCCTCCTGTTTTATGAAGTCACTGCTCCCATTGGGCTCCCAACTTAGACACAACGCAAACTTGGTTTACCTACCTCTCTGTATTTCCCATCCACTGACTTGGCATATCCTGTAAACCCTGTTGCACACACATCTTCAGTCCACCCTCCAGCCTCGCTGGGCCTTTATCATTTTGAACCTGGAACTGTTTCTAACCAGCCTTTTTTTTTTTTTTTAAAGAGAGGGAAAAAGGGGGAGGGGCAGAGAAAGAGGGAGAGAGAGAATCTTAAGCAGGCTGCATGCCCAGCATGGAGCCTGAAGTGGGACTTGATCTCATGGCCCTGAGACCATGACCTGAGCAGAAATCAAGAGTTGGACGCTTAACCCACTGAGCCACTGAGGCACCCTTCCTAACCAGCCTTTCTACAAGCCATCCTTACATATACCAGTCTCCACATTGTCATGGGGTGGTCACTTCCAAATAAATCAAAGCACCCAATCACAATTCTTCCATTCTTAAAATGTTCCATTTGTTCTTTGATCTCCATAGAATAATATCTCAGTTCATTACTTTGGCATACAAAGCTCTCAATTCCCAGCTATGACCTCATCTCTCATCACTCAGCTCCTACCCAACCTCAATTCTATCCATACTTAATGCTTTGCTAATCTCCAAACCCAACTGCTTTTTCATGCCTCTGTACTTTAGTACATGATGTTCTTATGACCTAGAATAGCCTTTCCCACTTTTTTCTGCCTGCAAAACTTTTGCACTTTAAGGGTCCTATTATAAGATAAAATTATATTTACTTCCCCAAATGAAGTTGGTCACTCTTCTTTGCTCCCATGGTACTCTGGTGTATCTTAAGTACTATCATAATTATGTGTAAACATGCCTGTCTCATCCAGACTACATTCTCCTTGACGGCCAGGACACCTGGGCCTTGCACAATGCCTGGCCCACAATAGCCATTCAGCAAATATTTAATTGGGAACAGTGGGTGAAAGACTCAGCTGCTACACATAGCGCAAAGACAGTTATGACGCAGGGGTCATGTAACAACAAAACAATCACGTGTTTATTGAACACTTACTCTAGAAAAGCTCTGTAGCTTGGTACTCTAATGGAATCAAGAAAGAACAAAATAATCCTTGCTCTTCACACTTTGCCCTAGTTTAAAATTTAATTATGTATCTAAGACTGATACTTTAGAAATTAGAGCATTTGTGCCCCCTCTTAATTATTACTGTGTTGTTTCCATCAGACCATAAAGTCCTTGAAGATGGTTTCTGTTTTCATCATTGTATTCCTAGCGCCTGTCATTGTTCACATGGTAGGTATTCAAAAAATCTTTGTTGAAAGATGAATGAATAGTTTTCAAAAACAAATAGAGTGACAATATTTAGAGTATGAAGGAAATAGCATGGGTGCTTTTGAAGATGAGATGGAGCTACAGGCACTGAAGAAAGACTCGGGTCAATCTGAGATAGAGGAAAATTGAGGGAAAATGATTCCAAGGGTCAGGTCAGAAGATAATTCTTAAAATTGTTAAAAACTTAAAATTCACAGGCATTCAAAATAATGACCATGATTTTCATCTCATAAGAGTTTAGAAATTTCTGAAATTCACTAGTCATCACTTTTGCAAAGAACTACCATGTAATGCAGAGATTCCTACACTGAAGTTGTCCATCTTCTTCCAACAGAGGGTGACCTTTTTTTTTTTTAATTTTTTATGAAGACTTGCCCTATTTGCTGCTGCATGTTCCTTCTTGCAGTGGTCCCTGTTTCCATTCTTACTGGAGGCCCTCAGAGAATTGCTTACTAAATTGGAAACGATCTCTCTGATCAATATAATTTTTTGCCTCCTACAAATGAGAAAACTGAATCCCAGAGAGGTGGTGTAAGTTGCCCAGCTAGTTGGTAGTAGAAATGGTACTAGACAATAGACATGTCAAAGGTGAGCAGTCTTTTTCCCTGCCCTGTGACACTCAGGCCAATCCTGGTTTTAAGCGGATCAAACCAGTGCATAGAGTGGTAGGCATCACTTCGTCTGTCTCTGACAACCTTCTGGATGTATCGCGTAGTCTCTGTACTACTATAAATATTTTCTTTCTTCGTGGCCTTAAAAACTGTCTTTTTCAACATATTACCAAGTTCTCAGAGTCTCTCCCAGGCTATTCTTCTGTACGTTTTTGCACAGATTGGGAGCTTATGTTACTCTTTGTGCTGTCTTTCTACGTACCACTCAGTCATACCCTGCATTTTAGCCTTCCTGCTCTTGCAATAAAGAGTTGCTTCATTAGACTAAAGTCCTAGTAAGAACAGTGGTCTTTTCTTCCAGAACAAGCATCACACAATGGACTACATTTCTTGTTAATTTTCGTACAAATTTCTCTGGTAGAGAAAGGCATGCTTCAGGATGTTGAACTGTACCTTTATTTTTGGCACTTCCTTCAGAGCAGAATTTTATACTGTGGAATATCCGGGTGCCAGGAATCAGTATAAATACAATGAGGATGTTAGTCTTTCTTCCTCCTTTCCTTCTTCTCTTCTTGCCATTCTCCTTTCTCCCTTGCCTTTCTTTTTCTCTCTCTTTTTTTTTTTTTGTATTTTATTTACCTCGAAGGAAACAATTTCCATCTTCTTCGGTAGGCTGAATTACTTCTCTTGTTTGTCTAACCTGTGCCCAAGGGACATGCAGCATGGTCCCAAATGGTTAGACTTGTGTGTTTTTACATCTTGTCTGGCATGCTAGATGTTTTTACTTGAGATTTCTGATGTATTTTAGGCAATTATGCCTGGTGTTATTTTGCTATTTTTCTGAAGATCATCTCAAACCTTCATCTTCCTCTACTGTTTGAGGTCTTTTGGTTTGTCTTAATGTTGTTTGACCTTTGTTATTACCAGTTGTTCCAGAATCATATCTCTCTTCTTCACCCTCCCTTCTTTTTTCCTTCCCTCTCTCGCTCTGTGGCTATCTCTCCTTCCTCCTTTCTTTTCTTCCTTCTGATCTTTTTTATTCATTCCCTATTTATCGGTTCAATACGTATTTTGGGGTCTATCATTTCTCAGACACTGTGATGTCAGAGATGAGTACTTTTTCTGCTCATAAAATGGAGAAGAGGAGAACCTAGTTTGTAGTGCTGTTGTGAGAGATAAGATCCTATGTATAAAATGCTTAGAACAAGTATCGGGTAGTCAGTAAGTACTAAAAAATATTAGCTATTACTACTATTTTAGTGAAAATAACTTCAGGCATCTTACGTGGTAGAAAGAGATTAGAATTTTCAAGACTGCACAACCTTTGGCAGTGCCTGCCTTATCCTTCTTTTACAATTCAGTCTCAGTCCTGTGGATAACCAGGGTAATCAGGACCCCTGCTCCAAACCCCTGACTTTGGTCCACACAGATGGCTTTATTATTTTCCTCTCTTCTTATGTCTGCCAGATAAACATTATTTTTCTAAGGTTTTTGTTTGTTTGTTTTTGAAGACTACTGTTGTTAATACACTTTTTCCTGGATCTGTTTATAATCACACTGCTGTCCTTGACTTAATGGTAAGCATTTACATAACAATGAAGTCATAGCTCATAAGCTCAGGTCCGGGTTCAACTGTTCAGAAAGACCATTATGAACTTCTTTAAACCAACTTTACTTTTTCCCTATTACTTGAAGTCCATGAAAATTTTACTTCTTTTCTTCTCTTTCCGACCGCTTATGTGGATGGAAATCTCTGTTTTAAAGCTTTTAAATTTACCTCTTCATCGACACCTTCTTCATACATATTTTAAATACAGGTTACAAAGTGCTTATGTCTTGCTCTTCCCTTCAGGCATCTT